AGAACCAATTTTTGCTCAGGTATCTGCCTCTCACACTCACAGTCCCTGCCAGCCTATTACAACTTTGCAGGTGACTAGATAACTCCATCCCTGTTGCTGGGAGTTGCTTTATATCACTTCAAGGTACTCATCGTAATTCCTCTTCCATTGCTAGTGCTTCAGTTAGAAATCAATCGTGTAACTCAATTTAGACCAGAGAGTCTAAGGAGTCTGCTGAGAGATCTCAGGAAAGGCTTCATTCTCCTTAAAAGGGGACATTCAAGAAAGACATGGTGATGACCCTTAAAAATATTATGCTAAGTGAAATAAGCCAGTGGCAGAAGACCATGTATTGTATGGTTTTACTTCTATGAAACAATCAGAATTGGCAAATACATTGAGATAGAAAGTGCATTAGAGGTTGCCTGAGGCTAGAGTTGATTAGGGAGAAATAGAAAATGACTGTCAATGGGTATGAGATGCCTTTTGGGGGTAGGGATGAACTGTTCTAGAATTGGCTGTGGTGACAGTTGCACAATTTTATGCATATACTAGAAACTTTGGATAAAAGAAAGGTATGAGGTGCGAATTACAGCACAGCAATGTTGTTCCCAAAAATGAAAGGGACAGTCCGTCCGTCTTTCCCCATCGACAGGATCATGTGTGTGCATGCGTACTTAGTCACTTCAGTTGTGTCTGACTGTTTGCAACCCTGTGGACCGTAGCCCGCCAGGCTCCTCTGTGCAAGGGATTTTCCAGGCAAAAAAATTAGAGTGGGTTGCCATGCCCTCCTTGAGGGCACCTTCCCATTCCAGGGATCAAACCCCCAGCTCTTATGTCTCCTGCATTGGCAGGCAGGTTCTTTATCACCAGCACCACCTGGGAAACCCCAGATAGGGTCATATGTGTACATAATACCTGAAGTTGCTACAACTATTGTTCAGCCATGAAGGGAGCCAGCCCCAGGGCAAAGCCAACTCACAGAGGGTGAACAGGAAGTGATTGAAAGAACTTGGGTACTTGGTGACATCATTGAAGTAAATGGTTGAACTATGCCTGGAGTTTGCTCAAACCTGTATATCCTATAATGTGAAATAATAAATTCCATTATTGTCTAAGTCAGAGTCAGGGTTTTCTGTTCCTTGAAGCCAAGAGCACTGACCTGATAAAGTGCAAGTCATCGGATCTCAGTAAGTAGCAGACACAGTGAGGACATTTTAAAAAAGATAATGTTGAAATGTTAAGGGGAAAACAGATGAAAATAGATGGCAGAAAGGAGCTAGTTGACATCAGTTGGTATGTTAAACATTTTCTTGTTCCTAAAATAATTCACCAGGGACTTCCCTGGTGGTTCAGTGGCTAAAACTCCACACTCCCAATGCAGGGGGCCCAAGTTCGATCCCTGGTCAGGGAACCAGATCCCACATGCCACAACTAAGAGTTTGAATGCTGCAACTAAAGATCCCTCGTATTGCGACCTGGTGCAGCCAAAATAAATAAACAAAGACTTTAAAAAAAATCAAATCATTCTCTAACCATTCTCCTGGATCTGAGCCATACTCATTGGCTACAGATTCATTAACATGAAAACAGAGTTAAAGGTTAGAAAATTTATCACCATGAATAGTCTTCTATGAAGTCTCTCAGATGGAATCTGCTTGTGGGAATAGATGCTCCTCCACCAGAATTTCTATTATAGAAAATTATGTACAGATTCTTTCAACATTCGTTTGGGTTTATTTATATATTTTATGCACACAGATTCTTCTTTAGACTGCGTTGTTTCTACTAAGAAAAGTATGAGGTGGAGTTCTCCTGGTATTTAGGCTTAAAATCTCTTCCTTGTTGTGACCTTTAATATCCACTGTTAGTAGTAACTAACAGATTGGAAACATGTAAATGAGGCCTTTCAGGAAACCAGCAGGTTCCTAGGAGAGAGACTATTTTCCACATTTAACATGGATTTTACAAGCACCCTCTGCCATGCCCATACTCACCCATGAGCTCTACGGGCCTTGTCTTTTCCTGAGTGTGACTTCTCTGGTGAATGTGTCTCCTTGCCCTTGGCCATGTCCTCCTCCTGCAACATCTGGGCCCTGGCTGGCACTTTCCAGTTGCTTGTTTAATATAGGAGTAACAGGGAAAAGGCAGTGGCAACCCACTCCAGTATTCTTGCCTGGAAAATCCCATGGACAGAGGGGCCTGGCGGGCTATAGTCTATGGGGTTGCAAAGAGTCAGACTTGACTGAGCAACTAATACACACACACACACACACACACAATAGGGAATGAAGATAGGGCTCAATTAATTACATCAAGCAAGGCCTCCAATGCTGTTTGGCAAAACGCAGTTTCCCAGAGGAACCCAATTCTAAGTATTCTGGAACAAGATATTTGGGATGTTCCTGGTGGTCCAGTGACTAAGACTCCAAGCTCCCGATGCAGGGAGCCCTGGTTCGATCTTGGGTCAGGGAACTAGACCTCATGTGCGGCAACTAAGAGTTTACATGCCACAGCTAAAGATCCCACATGCCACAATGAGGACAGAAGATCCCGAGTGCCACAACTAAGAAAGACCTGGTGCAGTCAAATAAATAAATAAACATAAACAAACAAACCACAAAAAACCTCTTGTATGACATATAGTTGAATCTCAGTCATAGTCTTGAAAACTCTCTATCAAATGGTCAGAAATTGACCTGTATATATTTCCCAGGAATTTCCTGTGGTTTCATTTTTATATTAATCTTTTAAAATTCACCCATAATCAAATAAATAAATTATTTTTCTCTATCAGAATGTGCCAAGATCTTTCCAACTTCAAGGTCTTACTGAGGCTGGCACATTCACTTATTATCTAATTCACTCATCTTCCTCCTCTTGACTAAGTGGTCACTTCACCCCAGACACCTTCCCTGGGTCATTCATTTAAATTAGGTTCCTCCCATTACACTCACCCAGAGCTCCCTTGTCCTTCATGGAATTCATCATAATCTGAGTGTTTTACAATTGTATCTGTAATACAATTTTGTAATTGTATTAGTGCCAGGCCCCTCCCCCACCTGATATTCTAAATTCTATGAGAACAGTGACAATGTTACTATTTTTCCTACAGAATACCCATAGTTTCCTCTTGGGCTACAAAATCACCCTGGATGGTGACTGCAGCCATGAAATTAAAAGACACTTGCTCCTCAGAAGAAAAGCTATGACAAACCTAGACAGCGTGTTAAAAATTAGAGGCATCACTTTGCCAAAAAAGGTTCATATAGTCAAAGCTATAGCTTTTCCAGTAGTCATGTACAGATATGAAGTTGGACCATAAAGAAAGCTGAGCACCAAAGAATTGATAGTTTGGAACTCTGGTGCTGGAGAAGACTCTTGAGAGTCCCTTGGACAGCAAGGAGATCCAACCAGTCAATCCTAAAGGAAACCAATCCTGAATATTCATTGGAAAGACTGATGTTGAAGTTGAAGCTCCAATACTTTGACCACCTGATGTGACGAGCTGACTCATTGGAAAAGACCCTGATGCCGGGAAAGATTGAGGGCAAGAGGGGAAGGGGCGACAGAGGATGAGATGGTTGGATGGCATCACTGACTCAATGGACATGAGTCTGAGCAAACTCAGGGAGATAGTGAAGGACAGGGAAGATTGGTGTGCTGCGGTCCATGGGGTCACAAAGAGTCTGACACGACTTAGCAACCGAACGACATCAATTGTATACAATACTATACATGTCTTAGACACATTTTGTTAAATGTATCTTTATTTTTTCATGTTTTTAGTACTCTTGTAAATGATACTGTTTAAATTTCAATATCGAATTATTTTTTTCTAACATATAGGATATATAGAAATATTTTTAAAATATTCAGCTTAGATGCATCAACTCTTTTCCCCAAATTTCTTCAAAGCTAATTGAAATGTTCCAGTTAAAGAATTATTTATTCCAGTTACAAATGCTCCTGAAGCACAAAGCCCTGATAATACAGTGAATATTAATTTGATCGGATTGTTTTGCTAACATCAAAGTGATTAGCACTGAGGAAACCAGAATAGGTGTGAGTGGTAACTTTGAAGCCCGCTGTACACTGAGATGGACGGGTTAAAATGGGCTACCAGACTATGAGTCAGTTGTTTCTCAATGAAGCTGGGCAACAAAAAAGTGAAAGGTGAAAAAGAGAGGAAGAGAAAAGATGGGTAGCTAGAGTGGGAAAAGGAAACAGCACTTCCTCTGACTGGGGGTAGGGGCTGGATCAGATTCTCTCTTCATCTTCTGAGTTCTATACTTCTTTGCGCAATTTTAACTCTTGATCTCAGCCTCACTGTCCAAAATTGCTCAGTACACCAAGCTGCAGGGCGATAAGCACGAATACAAAACCCTGGTACTAATTGTGCATGTAATTGCTGAGATTAAGCTCTGAGACTTAAAATTCTCTGACGTTAAGTCTAAAGCTCTGAATTTATGCATGATTTCCGCATAGTCTCTTATCTTGAACCTTAAGAAGGATGCTTTAATCCTTCCAGCTTTAAGCCAGGGCATGAAGTTTTTTTCCCTAGTCCGTTGCTTTGGTAGCGCAGACAGCCTGAATGGTACACCACTAGGTGGCGCTGAAGATCTGGCTGTAGCAGGAGAATCGGGGCTCCCCAAGGCACACAGGTTACTATTTTCCTCTGGGTGTACTGGCTGGCAGGAGGCTGCTATTTTCTTTATTGTCAGAGATCTTAGGGATGTCTTGACTTGAAGCTGACGCACACAGTCGCCCTGCAGTGCTTAGCAGTTTGTAAAGGGGATCTTGGTCTTGGCGGTAGTATTTCCAGAGCTTTATCACAGATCATAATGCCTGGATCTTTCTGCCTCTTCCTTGCACCTTCCATTAGTTCCCAAGTCTGGGATCAACCCTGTGTTTCCTCTACTGTTCCTTCAAGCATTTATTGCATGCTCTTGTGCGTCATCCCTATAGCTAGGAGTGATGTGGTGTGAGATACCAGACTTGACCTTTTTTTTTCCCCTTAGTCTGCTATCAGCACCAAGCCCAGGTACTGCGCTTGGGCTTACACTTTAGGCCCTACACTTAGGGGACCGAGTTGCTAGGTGTGTTTCCAGGAGGCAGAAGAAGGGTAATATCGTGGTTCTTATATTTACATACAGCCCATAAATCCCTGGCTCCTCCAACACACACCACCTGCATGAAAACAAGGAAAGAGGACGTATCACTTCTCTGCCCACCCTACCCCCTGCCCCCACACCAAGCTGCCCTTTGCACCTTCTTTTTCTCTTTCCTGGAGCTCTTGATATTTAATTAACTCTCATACAATGCAGTCTTTGGGCTTTCAATTTTAAATAAAATGCCAGCTGGGAATACATCCATGATGGGATATTTTTCAACAATAAAAAAGAGCTATCAATGAAAAGCCGTGGAGCAACTTTAAATGCAATACTAAGTGAAAAAAGCCAATCTGAAAGGCTACACGCTGTCTGAGTCCTACTCTATGACATCTGGAAAGGCAAAGCTAGAGAGACAGTGAAAAGATCAGGGGTTGCTGCGGCTGAGGGGAGATAGGAGATGAATGGGGGTGCTCAGGGGACTTGTAGGGCAGTGAAACTATTCTGTACAACACTGGATATATGTCACTAGCGTTTGTCAAAGCCCATGGAATGTACAAAGAATGAACCCTAACAAAAACTATGGGTTTAGCTCATAATAATCTACTAATATTGGCTCATCAATTGTAACAAATGACTGCAAGAATTTAATAATAGTGGAAACTGCAGAGGCGGTTGAGGGCTTGTAGGGGAACTCTGTACTTTCTGTTCAATATTTCTATAAACCTGAAACTGCTTAAAAATAAAATCAGTTAATTAAAAAAAAAAACCTGTTGGAAAAGACTTCATATTTACATAGGGCTTTAAAGTTTCTCAATCAATCCATTTGATTTTCACAAGAGCATCACCCCAAGATGAAAGGGACTGGGACTGTCCTGAGTTTACAGATTTAGGCATTGGGGTCAAAGAAACTGAGTGACTTCTCAAGTTCATACTACAGGACAAGGACTGGAATTCAGGTCTTCTTATCCATCCAGTGCTCTTTATTCTAGACACTTGCAAATAAGGAATTTGGTGACAGTCTTCTGCACTCTCTAATGATTATTCTTTTTTCTCCCAAGGTTCTCACTGAGCCCTATTTTATAGATATACACTATAAATTAAAACTCAAGCCTTCACCCTATGGCTATGTGACACTATTTAATACATTTTCAGGTATAAAAGAGCATCTTTAATGCACTTTTTTTCTCCCAGCTCTACCATCAACTCTCTCCTCCACAGTCTTAGAAACTGCTTCCTTTCCACTTTTAGGATAAGTCATTAGAGCAAGAATGAAAGCAGAGAGACCAGCTAGAAAAGTCTGGTGATTTTATAGAATATTGCACTGAGGGTGTGGGTTTTTCCTTCATACAGACACACAACAGCTTGGGACGGGATCTCAGCCTTTCTAGGAGGTCTAGCATGAGGTGGCTCAGAGCAAGTCCTCAACAGCGACACCTTGTGGTAAAAAGAGTCAACTGCAGCAGAAATCAGATGAGATGACCTCTCCTCCTGGGTATGGAGATCTTACTGGCTCTTCTTGAGTCTGTACAAGCCTCCAGAATCCCTGAGAGGGGAGTGAAAATTCTCAAGAGTCACCCGCGTTCACTTAAGTCATCCTTTAGACACTTGGGCAATGAATTAGTAAAACAAGAGAGACGTGACCACGTTTGTACCCCCAAGGTTGCACAGCCATTGCACTAAGGAATGAAATCTGGAAGGACCGCTTTTCAAAAGGACCGAACCAGACTAGGACTGTCCATAAAATGACCGGGGCAAAGACGTAAAACAGAGGCATCACATTTGTGATTCTTACGTGATGGCTGTCCCTGGCTCACTACGCACTGTCCGGCCTCAGGAACATGCATGAAACAGGAATAAATACAGATGTGGTCAGAAAGGGGAAAGACCAGTTTGGAAAGTCAAGAGATCATTGGTGAAATGTCTCTGGAAATTTTTTATAATTTTCCTATAAGAAATGAAGACTGTGGTTTGGGAAACTACAGTAAAAACGATTTAGTTCCCCATTTTCTACCCACAGACGGTTGGTTGGTGGGGGACCGTGGTGAGCATGAGAGGTGCAGCCCCTGTCTTTATGGGTCTCACATTCTGAAGGGAAAGACAGACGCGTTAACAGGAACACAGACCCAGCGGAAAAGACAGGCATCGTGCTGCTAATTTTTTTCAAGCTTGTCCAGCCTGCCTGACCCCTGATGTTGCTATTCCTCGGAGCTTATCCCGGGGCCCTCGTTATGGGTTGAGTTGTGTCCCCAGAAGGTGCACTGAAGTCCTGATCTCCAGCTCCTCCGAATGTAAGCCTATTTGGAAGCGAGTTTTGCAGACAGAATTAGTTAAGATGAGGTCATATTGCAATAGCAATGGCCCCTGGTCTAATGGCACTCATGTCCTTCTAAGAAGAGGAGAGAAAGACACACAGGAACTGGAGGGCCCCCTGAAGAGACACACACACGTGAGCGGAGGGTGTCATGTGACCACAGAAGCAGATAGGTATTGGAGAGATGTATCTAAAAGCCAAGAAAGATTGCCAGCGAACACCAGAAGCTGCTGCTGCTGCTAAGTCACTTCAGTCGTGTCCGACTCTGTGCGACCCCATAGATGGCAGCCCACCAGGCTCCCCCGTCCCTGGGATTCTCCAGGCAAGAACACTGGAGTGGGTTGCCACTTCCTTCTCCAATGCATGAAAGTGAAAAGTGAAAGTGAAGTCGCTCAGTCGCGGCCGACTCTCAGCAACCCCATGGACCGCAGCCCACCAGGCTCCTCCATCCATGGGCTTTCCAGGCAAGAAGACTGGAGTGGGGTGCCATATGAGGGGCAAAGAAGGGCTCTGCCCTGCAGGTTTCAGAGGCAGGACGCCCCAGATCACATCTTGATTTCTGACTTCTAGTCCCCAGAATTGTGAAGAAATAACTTTGCTGCTTTAATCCTCCCAGTTTGTGGAACTTGAAAACTAACACAGCCCCCAGGGACTTCCCTGATGGTCTAGTGGCTAAGACTCCAAGCTCCCAAGGCAGGAGACAAGGGTTTGATGCTTGGTCAGGGAACTAGATCCCACATGCTGCAATTAAAGATCTTGCATGCCGTGAATAAGACCCAGTGCAGCCAAATAAATAAATTTTTTTAAAAAAGAAACTAATACAGCTCCCATTTTGCTTCATCCTTACCCCGAGTGTCCTTATTCATTTCCATAGTTTTAAATTTTTTCATTAATTTTTATTTTATTGTGTTAGTTTCTACTACTGTACAGCAAAGTGAATCAAGTATACTTATTCATATATCCCCTCTTTTTTGGATTTCCTTCCCATTTAGATCACCATGGAGCACTAAATACGGTTCCCTGGGCTACACAGGATGTTCTGATTAGTCATCTATTTTATACATAGTATCCATAGTGCATATATGTCAATCCCAATCTCCCAATTCATCCCACTTCCCTTTTCTGTATTTTAAAAACCATCAGTTGCTGATGATTCCCAAGTTTATACACGAAGGCTGTATCACGGGAACAGTGATTTCAGCTCCATCCCCATGGCAAAGAATAAAAGCCTTATTTCTTCCATTTCCTCCATTTCCACAAACCAGATTTTGTTTTTCATTAACCCAGAGAAGATATTGTTGGGAGAAAAGGGAAGTGGTAACAGTAGCCACAAGGCAAAGACGAAAGCAGCGGACCCTGGCTCTTGAGTGTTCAAAGGCACGGGTTTAAGAAATGGAGTTTTGCAAAAGTAACTTCTGTTCATGCTTTGGCTTTCCACGCTGACTTAACAATTTAACCCTGAGGTTAAAGGAGACTCTATATAACCCCAGCCTCCCCTTTTAACTCCCAGCCTGAATCACTGTCCTCTGGACACATTTGTTTGAGTGTCTCACAAACGTCTCAAACAAGCAAGTTCAAAACGGAACTTTCCCCTCTAACCGGTTTCTCTCCATCTCCATGGGCACCCTGCTCATCTAAGCTCTTATAGTCCCATCGTGGGCTTCACTGGCAGTAGTTTGATGGCAAACCCTGCTTTTACCGTGGCCTCCATAGATTCTAATTCTCACATAGTGGGAATCGTGTCGTAGCTATTCTGGTTAAAATTAAAAAAAAAAAAAAACCAAACAACCTCCTAATGTCTTTAAAGTAATATAAATCCTTATGAGGGCCACAAGGCCCTGTGAAATCTTGCCCCTGCCTACTTTTCTAATTTTGCCCATATTCCTCTCCACACTGCCCTGAGCACTCCAGTCACCCTGACCTTGTTCATTCTCAAACACACCGAACTCTGTCCCACATGACTGCGTGCCCCGGTGGAGGGGATGGTGTACGGGAAGACACGGATGCAGCTAGCTGTTTCTTAGCCTTTAGCTCTTAACTTACAACCATCTTCTCAAACGGCAGAATTCAAGAAAAACTACAACCCTCTTAGGTTCAGGGCTTTTCTGATTCCCTTATATTTTAACAGACTCAAACTATGGAAAACTTATGCCTTAGGAAAGTACTCTGTAAAATGCTTTGCCTATGTTCTATGGAATATTCTGCAATTGCCTTTTCATAAGCAGCAGAATAAATTATAACCTCCAGCTTTCAGTTAACAAGAATATACTAGACCAGTATTTCCTAGTAATCCTATGTCATTTGTGCATGTGTGCTCAACTGTGTCTCTCTGTGACCCCCATGGACTGTAGCCCACAAGGTTCCTCTGTCCATGGGATTCACCAGGCAAGAATGCTGGAGTGGGTTGCCATTCCCTTCTCCAGGGGATTTTCCTGACCCAGGGATCAAACCTACATCTCCTGTGTCTCCTGCATCAGAAGACAAATTCTTTACCACAGAGTCACCTATATTCAGGGGTAATTGTTTGATTCAGTAATTGTATTACTATTATCTAGAAAGGGAAATATATTAAAATGGTTTATGGGTAAAAGTCCCCATTTTTATTTAATATTTATCAAGTTTAATTAACTGTACTTAGTTTTTATTCAAAGGCTTACA